CTTATAATTCGAAAATTATTAAATTCTTAATTTTTGAAATGTTTTGTAAATTGTCTTGAAATTGATGATGATTTTGAATGGTTAAATTTGTAAATTTTTGCAATCTAAGCTATTAGAAATTTTACATACAAAAAAATATTTTTCATATTTACTTCTTCTTTTTTTTTTTTTTTATCCTGAGTTATTCCAATTTCTAACGATTCATATCATATTTTATTGATTGAAACCATTTTTTATCTTTCAAAATGGATTTTACATCACTTTTTCATACCATTTTTGCAACGAATACATTTGTAATTTGATATTATTCCTCAACAAATTAATTCCTTTCATTAATTCCATTTCATACTTTTTTTCAAATCAAGTGAAAAATACTGATCATAAATGTAGCACATTTATGATTACATGATTTATACTGAACGGATCATTTGAATAATTGTTGTTATCTAGATGAAGGAGAGATAAGCTTAATCAATATCACTTATTTCAATATCACTTCTATCTACTTATTAATTAATATCATATTAATGTCACTTATTAATGTCATAGAAAATTATCAACACTTACATTTATTCTACAGTTCAAGGAATAAATTGAACAATGAATAAATAAAATTGATAAGATCGACTAATTACGCCAGTTATTTGTTTTAATTTGTTCTAATGAGGTTTCAATTCAACATATAACAAGATTGTCTCATTGATTGTTTTTAATGTGACACGATTTAAATGACTATTTTGTGTATTTACATGATCTAATTTATATTAATGATATCTCTTATACATGCTTGTGACAATTTTTTTTGCATAGCTTCTGAAGGTAAAAGATACATTTATGGATAAAAGTCTCCAAAAAATTTGCATATTTCTTTTAATTCCATAATTTCTCAGTATTTACCGGATTGTTCTTTGTAAATAGTTCAATGACAAAAAGCGATTGCATAATATTCTTCTTAAATATATCATTTTACATAGGAAAACAATTTACCGGAATAGTTATGTTCTTCATTTTGCCGGTTTCCGTGTCTCCGTATTTATTAATTTCTTGACTGTATAGCAGGTAATTAATGCAATATATAAAATCCGGAAACATTACAGATTGTATAATTTGCCAGCGAAAAGATTTACAACAGTGTGCGCCTAATTTGTTATAAAATTGTGCTAATTTTACTGAATTAATTAATTGTTACAATCGAATAAGAATAATCAAATTTTGCTACCATTCATTGTTTAGCCAAAAGATGTCCTTATCAGGTGAGCGATTCGTTTAAATTAGTTCATACCGGAAGGAAGGCAAGTTTTCCCTGACCTTTTATCTCTTCCAAAACTGTGATACTTGTTTGTTTTATCAATCAATGAAAATGTGAAGCAACGAACACTCTTGCAGAGCTAGAAAGAGATAACAACGATACTCTTATCACTTCTTAGTATCATTTAATAATAATTGATAAATACGGTAGTGGAAGCATCAGGAAAATGGCAAATTTCCTCAAGAAAATAGTTGATCGAGCTAGGTCTCGATCGATATCACCGGCAAAGCATCAAAGGAATGATTATGAGATGTGGAAACGAATGAATCACCAGCAGCAATCTTCTTATTACGGATCACAAACCGGAACATATGACTATTTTGTGCATCCGGAATACAATCATCATTTGCAAAATTTTCATGCAAGTGTTTTATTATGCTTGAATTAAAAATAATGAAAGTTAGAAGTTTTGTAGCTCCAATGAATTAACTGGTAATAGCTTCCCTCTTAAGTAAGCTCTTTCGTATTAGTCAGATTTTCAATCCGATCCAGACAACATCAAAAAACATCACCGTTTTCATATTTAAAACCAAAATTTCAGTGTTTTTTTTTTTTTTTTAGTTTATGATATATCTGAAGCGTTCTTTAATCTTTAACACCTGACACAAAAAGTGACAATGATGGATGTATGAAAATGCAACGGGAAATATTTCCGAAAGATTTAACCGTAAGAAAAAAGTATAAACATATTGGATCATTTGAGAATGTTGAGATTTGAGATTTTCTCAATGGATACATATATCATCATGTATCGTTGACATTCTATACTTTTTTTTTGATGCTTTCAATTTAGTCACCGTAAAATTAACAGAAATAATTTCTACCTGTCCTTATCATTTTGATATGGTATTGAACGGTACAGGAAGGTCATCGATAGGATATACATCCAACTAATATATGTTCTCATTCTACCGTATCATACCAATCGAGTATCGTCATCCATCCTAGCAATGAATTAATTATTCCAAAACGATTAAGTTTGATTTGCATAAGTTTTGCAAACTTTGCATTCCCAATCATTTCACAAATTTCCGTGAATTGCATTAGTCTTCTTAAAGCAATATTTAAAAATGAATCTAATTAATAATAATTAATTGTAAGTAAGTTTGATTAAATTTAAATAAGATGGAAAATGTGATCAAATTGAAAGTAATGGAAATTTTGTTGATTTACAAAATGTAAAAGAAAGAAAAAAAAACAAATAGCAGGATAATTACAGAATTTATTATTGATTATATTTCTGCATATGATATTTATTATTTTAAATTAATTTTTGCCAATTTTAAAATTATTCTTTAATAATTTGTAAAATTTTTTCTACTATTTTAAAGGGTAATATAATGGATAGGCATAATGAAACGTTCGAATCATTTTCCAATCCGGCAAATAATTGGGAATATCATTCTAATGTAACAGTGATAAGCACTAAACAAAAAAATTCCAATCCGAAAAAAAAACATATCAATCGACCTCGATCAAGCAGTCCACAGAAAACACCGAAAATGTCATCCGATGAAACATTCACAAAGAGTCGCTCAAAGTAAACATTATCTGTTTTTTTTTTTTTTTTTTTTGTATACTAAACAATACTGATAAGACTTTATGATAATATTTTTCCAAGAGATTAAATATTGTTTGGACCATGAACTATTGAAGTAATATCTATCATTATATGTTTGATTTTTGTACCAATGTTTTGATCATTTGCAATTTTCTAGGTCACCAAACAAAAGATTTTCGCAATTGTCAGAAACACTGGATTATTTGTCACCACAATGTCAACTGGGAGGATGTTCAGCCACACTTATTGTTCAGGTATTTTTTAATTACTGAAGATCAATTGTCATCTTTGCTACATTTTTTGGAATTTTTTTTTT